TCCCCTCCTCATCTCTTTTTCCTTTTTTCCTTTTTGCCTTTGTTTTTGTTTTCATACCATTTATTATTTATCATTTTTTGTTGTCTTTATATTCACCATTATTTTCTTTAGCTTCTTGACCAGCATTATTTTCATAATAGTGATCACTTTAGTACACATTTATGATTAATTGAGAATCTTTATTGAGGCATGTTCATCTAGGGACCATTTTGTATTGTGAGTCCCCCTCTCTATTTACTTATTTATACTATTTCTTTCTAATATTAATAATTTGTTTATAGTATTATAGTGACTCGGGATAAATTCATTTTGGTGATTGCACCTATTATTCATGAACTTTGCCCATGTGATATCGTTAGGGTTTACTCAGATATTATGAGTTAACTATAATTATGATTCAAACCAATAAAAGGTGAAATGAATAATTATGAGGCAACTGTTTATGTTTAATTTATTTTATATAGCTACTACAGCAACTATTTTAGATTCCTACGGTCGGGGGAATAATATGGAAACTTTCCTTTATCATCATATAAACCTCCTCTTTCTTGAGGTCTAACTTTACTCCATTGTATACAATGTAATCATTTTGTACCACTTCGCTGGTTACAATGTTATTTCAACACTCTAACTTATGATCGTACTGTTTCCCCACAATATTGACACTACGGTTCTAATGAACTTTCTATTTATCTATTTATTGCTTTAAATTTCTTGAGTAATACTTTTATTATTATCATCATTTTACTTTTGATTCCTTTTTCCTTTTCGTTTTTATCATTTACTATTCACTTTGTGATTAAATCCAAGTAGATTCCTCCCCGTTCTACGTTTTCATTCTCGGATAGCTAATCACCCTGGGCTTATCCACACCCCTCTCTCTTGATTGGCCGGGACATTCGGGGGCAGGGGAAGTATTACGTCAATCATTCAGGTCTAGGGTTTCTGATTGGAGGACTCTCTCTGAGGGGTGTGTACTACCCCCCCTTTATAAGCGGCCCTTTTTGAACATGTCAGTTTGCTCTTGACAAAGGCATACCTTACACGCCGAAACACGCGTCGAGCTGTGAACAGCCGATGCTGTGATTTTATTTTATTTTCTCATATATTTACCTGGGTTCCCACGCTGTCTTTTTTCTACTTGATTTATTTTCATCTACTAGCTGCTCAGGGACTATGTTAGGCTGCCACGAAGCAGCAGATAGAAGGTTGTGTCCGGGCTAGACAGTTTAGCATAGGGTTCGATAGGATTTTGTTGTAGCAGGGAAGTTCCCTTTTTGGCATTTAGACTTTATGCCGTTTTCCTGGTTGAGCATACTATTATTACCTTTTTTGGCTCTCATTATTGTGGAGACCCATTTCATGTTGAGTCCCACAGAGGCTACGGTAATCCTTCTCTTTTTTCAAAGATTTAATTAAGGAAACGTATACCACCTTTTCTATAATTTTATTTTGTTACTTTCTTTTTTCTTTATTAATTACCCTACTGGCAAGTCTCTGTATCTAGCCCAGACACCCTATCTGTACTTCCTAGTATATCTCCCTATCTTTTCTGTGATTATTACAGCATTTTCTCTTCCTATATGGTGACATTCAATATCCATTCAGTTTATTGAGGAATTCCTATTTTGTTTTTTCATAGACTACTATACTTTATTATATTTCCTCTATAATACTAACTACCTAACTACTTTGAGTCAGAGTACACCCAGGTTTTTAATTGGTGTTGGCACTTCACCATTCACGTTTTTCTTGGTATATTTATATATTTTCTGTATTCAATAAAGATTTTTTATTTTTATGTGACGTTTGATATTAAGGAGGTATTTTCCTATGGGTCGGCATTTCCACTCACTTGTTGTGAGCGGATCTTCCGCCCTATCCTTTTTCTAATTGACATAAGTGTTTGGGGTTAGGCCCCCTATACCTCCTGTAACCTCTATAGGTAGAGGGTGTGATTTTTTCATCCCCTCTCCCTTTCTCTTTTCTTCTCTTTTGAGTTATACAATGTGTTGAGTTTATTAATGTGAGATTGCGATGCAGACTCATATACTACATCCCCATAATCAATGAGAAATCTCAAAGTATCTTTCCTGGTAAAATATTTTATAAATAAATAAATAATATATATATTTTTTTTTTTTAAATGATGACAATATTAGCAACAAAATACAGTTAGAATGAAATTACATAAGTATATCTAATTAATTTTCCTGTTTAAAAAACATTTTATTTATTATTGTAATTATAAGTATATATATATATATATATATATATATATATATACGGTTGCAAGAATGATATGTATTTCTGCACAAATTGGTCATAAAACGTGATCTGCTCATCATCTAAGTCACAACAATAGACAATCACAGTCTGCTTAAACTAATAACACACAAAGAATGAAATGTGAATGTTTACATAGTGTGTTCAATAAAAACATGGCAACATTTCATTCTTTGTGTGTTATTAGTTTAAGCAGACTGTGGTTGTCTATTGTTGTGACTTAGATGATGATCAGATCACGTTTTATGACCAATTTGTGCATATCATTCCAAAGGGTTCACAGGGTTTTCTTGCAACTGTATATATATGTATACACACACACACACACACATCATATATATATATATATATATATATATATATATACACACACACACACACACACACACACACATCATATATACACATGGCACTATTTGATCCTGAGGAAGGTCCCTGTGTGGACCGAAACGTTGATTGTTCACTTTTCTTTGATGGAATAAACTACACTTTGTATTCAGAAGTCCGTGAGTGCAGCCTGCTTTTCTTCGTTCACTATATATATATATATATATATATATATATATATATATATATTTAACTTCATTCTAAGTGTATTTTAACACTTATATATGTACTTATATTAATATTAAAATACACTACGTATGACGTTACATATATAAGGTGTGTACACACACACACACACACACGTTTTATTTTAAACATGTTTAATTATTTTATTTTTTTACACTACCCACCAGCAGGGGGACTGTCTGACAGCCCAGACAATCCACAGCCAGCTTTAGGGGGCCATGTGATCGTTCTGTGAGAACGATCACATGGCCCCCAGGGGCCTGATTTGCCAGACGAGGGCTGCCTGGGCTGTCAGACAGTCCTCCTAAAGAGGATTGCAGCGGAGGTAAGTCCACCGGAGCTCCTGGGGTAGAAAGCCGTTACGGCGTTCTATGACGCCGCAGCGGCTTTAAAGCCCATTAGAATGGGGACAACATAGAACGCTGTAACTGCGTTAAGGGGTTAAGTAAAATCTCATTAACCAGGCCTAAAAGAGAATAAATGTCTCAGCCCACTGAGACACACACATAGCTAAAACTCTCCTGAGAAAACATCTAAATAAGCATATTATTCCACAGAAAAAAAAACTTTATTTTCAGCCATAGCTAAGTTATCTCTCCTGTAGTACATTTTGTTGAGGGTCTGACCTCCATTTAACTGGTTCCGTGGGCTGTGGCCTACAGACATATCTGAGGCTGGAGATATGGCAAATGTCCTGCCTGGGTTTTATTTTCACTTTTGGGTCCTGTTCCCCTCCATATTTGGACCAGTGGGGGATAACCTCTACTGCAGTATCAAATTGAATAGAGGCAGCTAAAGGCAGATTTGAAAATCAAGACCTGCTTTACAAGATGGTCATTGCTTCGAGGTCTGCTGCTTCACATGCTTTCACACAACCAGCTTCCCAGATGGATCTGTTTCTACAGCCTTTGACAAACTGTACAATAAAACCCAAAGAAAAAAAAGTTACCTGTGCACTAGCCAAAATCCCTATGCATATGGGACTTATTTTTGTGTGTTTGCATTAACCTTTTGTTTTACACAGCCATGTTACAATGCTGCCACCCACCCCATGTGTTCCCTATTAAGGGTTAATAAGCATGTGGGGGTTTAGAAAAATACCCCTCTCTGACTCATTAGAGATTGCTTTGCTGGAAGCTGAAGGAAGCCAGGTGAATTGTTAGTGTAAGACCCACCTAAGAGGTTTGCCTTAACGTGGCAGGTGGGCTTACATGTAATGGCTATGGAGATACTAAATAACCTCTATTTATTTAAATATGCATAGGGATTTTGGCTAGTGCGGAGGTAACTATTTTTTTTTCTAATAAAGTGCACTCACAAGCGTATGTTATGTAATGCGCTGCAAAGATGCCTCCCCCAATGGAGATGGGGGGCTTCAAATCCCTTCTTGGATCCCTTCACTCTATTGCAAATTAGGACTCTGGGTGATAGGTGTTGTTTTGAGCAGCTTTATTGGTACAAATAAACCCAAATATAAATTTGGCTTAACATGAAATAGTATAAAAATGCTTTAAGTCCTACTTGTTTTGTCCCATGAGACTTCCTCAGGGACCAACAATTTATCAGCAATCATAGAACAATGACATCAGAAAAAAGCAGCTTAACAATCCCCCAGTCTCTTTAACCCCTTAAGGACACACGATGTGTGTGACATGTCATGATTCCCTTTTATTCCAGAAGTTTGGTCCTTAAGGGGTTAAAAAGGGCTAGTTCTAAAGTTCATTGGTGATCCAATGGGCATCTTCCTACTTTCGGAATCCAATGGTCCGATCCGATAATCCAATCACTTGTTTGAATATCCAAATTGTTTGTCCTCTTGTTCAGGTGTTATTTGTTCACCGGGTAATGGGATAAATGGAGATATGTTCCAACGAGCACTTCCAAGTGTTCCAGTGATGACTTCCACATTCGTTAGCATCCAAGATGGCCGTGCATTTTTCTAAGGAACGCAATAGGCGATCACCCTCTGGTGTTTGCCAAAATAATGCATTGAAGGAAAAAAATCATATGAACTCAGAATTAGTTTGAACTCCATCTACTAAAGAAAACTATAATTCGTGCAATACAATAAACTTGTTCAAATAATGAAAAATATATCATTATCAATATTCATTTTTGTCAGGCTTCCCCAAACTCTGTCACTCCAGATGTTGCTGAACTACAACTCCCATGATTCTCAGCCTATCTTTTTCATTCATAGAATCATGGGAGTTGTAGTTCAGCAACATCTGGAGGGCCAGAGTTTGGGGAAGCCTGATTTAGGTGAACATAGTGAACATTACAACGTTATGGAGAATATCCTCTCTCTGTAATATAAACACATCAGGGTAGTTAACATTATACCCCTTTAAACTGTTCTACATAGTCCACAGTGGTAAGAACTTTTTTTTTTTTTTTAATATATTGACTTAATAATTATCTTTGCTTTTTCATTCTTTAGATTTTTCATTATTTTTCAAAAACTTAAATGTGATTAGTTACATATAAGAGGTATATATACACAATGCCACACACACTATCGGATTGTGATTTGTAACAACCTCGTGTTCCAGTGTATAATTGTTCTGAAATATTAAAACATGAATAAAAATGAGAAATTAAAGCAAAAAAAACCATGAAAGGCTGAAAAAATATTGTAAACAAAAATTAACAGAGAAGGACCATTATAGAGAACAAACAAAGTCTATTTTTTCACCTTGTTGCCAATGTGGCCTAAATTTTTCAATACCTATACATTTTCAAACAAAAAATGGGGACACATTTTTCAATCGACCGGGACATAATGTGACAAGACCTTTTTTGATATTGTTGACATGCTTAAGAATCTGTATTTTTTAAGAATTCTTTTGGTACAGCTTTAAGACTTAATCTTAAAGCATTGGCCCACAGTAGAACTGTTAACATGGATGGTAGAACAAGTCTTACATGAGTTACATCCGATAAATATCCCTTGTTTTCTATTGGTATTAATGGCATAACTAGGTATCAATATGTTTTTTTTCTATTTATAAGTCTTGCATTTAGGTAATGTGGTTCCTAAAACTGGATAATGCAGTTAAACTTTTTTTTAAATTTTCCAGTGATTGTACTGTGTTGTAAACCTGAACATATCATTAGATGATTTAGTGTTTGATTTATCTAATAAATCGTTTCTAGACATGTGCAATTCGTTTCGGTCCGAATTAAAATTCGGCCGAATTTCGGGTAATTCGGAAATTCCGGTGCTTCCGAATGTCTGAATAGCTGAATTGCTGAAATGACGAAGTCCAGAAGTGCCAAAATTACAGAATTTCCGAAGTGTAGTAGTGCCGAAGTTCTGAAATTGCCAAAGCACAGTATTGCCTAAGTACTAATATACTTAACCAGTGAAAGAAGAAGAATGTTACATTGTATATAATTTTAAATAAAAAGTATACAAGCGTTTGCAACACTTACAACAATCAAGTAACAAATATTCATATAAACAGTAAGTTACTTGGCCAGTCATGTAATGACAGGAATGAATAAGTAGATAACTCCCTAATTCCCACGGTATTAGGGAGCTATCTACTAAAAGACCTAAATTGGTCTTTCAGACAAATTTACTAATACTAAGTAAAGATTACTTAGTATTAGTAAATTATGCCCCTACTCGCTATACCGCGAGTAGGGGCATGTCTATTAAACAGTGAGGTCCCCCCTACTGAGCCCCCAACTGTGACATGCAAGTGGCATTTAAACTAAAGGGCGGACCTATTGCCCACCCTGGCCCCCACCCCAGAGCGGCAGGTGGGGGCCCTAAAGTAAAATAATGGGGGGGACCTATTGCTCCCCACCCCCGGCCCCCACCCTTGAGAGGCGGCTGGGGGCCCTAAAGTGAAAAAAAGGGGGAGGACCTATTGTCCTCCCCACTGGCCCACACCCCTTGCCCCCACCACTTTTTACTTAGTATTAGTAAATTTGGCTGAAAATTTAGGTCTTACAGCCTTTTGGTAGATAACTCCCTAATACCGAGGGAATTAGGGAGTTATCTACCAAGCGGCTGCAAGAGAAGTCCCGAAATTCCGAAGTTCCGAAGTGTCTAAGTTCCGAAGTTCCGAAGTGGTGAAGTGCCAAATTGACGAAGTCCCGAATTTCGGAATGCCGAACCGAGCCGAATATTTTCCCCATACACATGGCTAATCGTTTCAATCAATCAGTGTTGTTAGCCTTATTTCTTTTTTAAGGCATTCTTCTTGTACCCTTTGTGATCCTTGTTTGCAGATAGCACGGTCCTCTAGGGTAAACAACAGGCACAGTCCTTTTATTTTAATATAATCCAGACACTTTATTTGTAAATCCACACAGGAGACAGCAGCAAATGAAAACATAAATATAACACAAATCCCTATAAACAAAAACCTAGCTCATCTGAGTACTTACTAACATCAGGTTCCCTATCTCTCAGGGGTTAAACTAGAACAAAACAATATTGGTTTCACCAACCTAGTGTCTGTCAGCTCTCTGCACTCCAGTGCTTAGTCAGCCTGTTGCTTTCCTTTTGCACTCCCAGTACTCAGTCTCCTTGACTCTGTCACTAGAGAGAACAGCATCTCTCCTACCTGCTTCCAGGGAGGAAGCCAGTAATACCCCTTTTCCTGCCTAGCATGGAGGGGTTTATTCCCACTGCTACAGCTGATTATCTGCAGCTGAGCAGTGGGTTGGAGACAGTTCCAAAAAACTCTGGCCTGGACCTTATTTCTCCCAGTTGTGTATAAACTGAGGAGTGGAGCATTGGCCCACCCTGCTCTCCAAATGCTCCATGCCAGGAGCCCATAACTAAACGTAGCTTTGTGTTGCACACCACACATACAACACATACTTCCCCTGGGGTTAAATGGTAAAGGCCTCTCTGCCTTCACTTTATCACACCCAAAAGTTTATTTTTATATGTACTGATTCTGAAGATGTGAGCAGTTACGTCTAACACGTGAAATGTCCCCTTGCTATTCCCTTCAGCCATGGTCTATGATGGCAGATTTTGTCATGTACATACCCATTCCCATCAGTTGGTTTAAAGACATTTTAAAGACATTTTAATCTTATCTGATTCTCTTCACAGAATAAAGTTAAATGAAGAAAATAGATCTCACTCTCATTCAACTCTGAAGTGAATTTAAGATTATATTCATTATGATTAGTGATGTCGCGAACACGAAATTTTCGGTTCGCGAATGGCGAACGCGAACTTCCGCAAATGTTCGCGAACCGGCGAACCGGGCGAACCGCCATAGACTTCAATGGGCAGGCGAATTTTAAAACACACAGGGACTCTTTCTGGCCACAATAGTGATGGAAAAGTTGTTTCAAGGGGACTAACACCTGGACTGTGGCATGTCGGAGGGGGATCCATGGCAAAACTCCCATGGAAAATTACACAGTTGATACAGAGTCTGGTTTTAATCCATAAAGGGCAGAAATCACCTAACATTCCTAAATCACAATCAATATGGATTGACACCTGACATATGACATATTGACACCTTGACATATGGATTGACACCTGTCCTCAGAGCCCCTGATGCACACGGACACAGAGCAGAATAGAGACTGGTCCCCCTGCATAGGGTCACTTGGCAGATATGGATTGACACCTGTCCTAAGGATCCCTGATACACACTGACACAGAGTAGAATAGAGACTGTTCCTCCTACATAGGGTCACTTGGCAGATATGGATTGACACGTGTCCTCAGAGACCATGATACACACTGACACAGAGCAGAATAGGGACTGTTCCCCCTACATCGGGTCACTTGGCAGATATGGATTGACACCTTGTTACAAACTGCTATTTGTAACTGGCCTTTTAAATGGCAAATTGCCCTGCTTCCCTGGGTTGTGGAGAAGCCTATTTGCCAGCCTCCTCCCGCATGACTATGGCCCCTGGGAGATTGTGAAAATGTATGCACTTTTATTTGGTGTGTATGGCCCTTTAAGACTGTCGGTGGGCATATTGGGGCTTATGGACTCTTTATGTGACTGGTGCTGGCCCTTTAAACACCTTTGGGGACACTGCCCCTTTAAGACGGTGTCCCCTGTGTCCCCAGACCTGGTGCAAACCCTTTGTGCCTGCCTGGCTATTTACCACTTGGTTCAGTAAATGGGGCTTACTGAACAAAGTACCACACAGGCAGACCACCCAGAAGTGGAAGTGTGCAGGCAATTTACCTCCCAGAAGCTGCGGTTAACCGCAGCTTAATTGACAATGCTGGGAGGTCTTTGTTCGTTTGCCGAACACGTGGCGGCGGCCATCTTTGATCATTCGACGAGGTCAGCGGCATGTGTAGCCAAATTCATGGAACTAAAATCGGCTACACATTTCCGCGAACACCGCTGAGCTCTACCTTCTCCCCTACTGGTTTTACAGCTGCAGAGACTAAGTCCCATTCGGCGATGGGACTTAGTCATTTTTTCAGCCTGAAATAGACCGACCGCACAGCCCAAATCTATGGAACTGTTTTGGGCAGGAAAATGTGCTTGCGGTCAGTCATAAAGGGACCTCCAGCTAACTTTTTAACCCCTGGATGGATTTGGCTGATTTTTGGTTATGTTTATGTTTTAAGTGTGCTGATTCCAAATATGTAATTGTTATGAAGATGGATGCTAAAAAAAAAAATAAAAAAAATTGGACAAATGAAAAAAAGCTCAATTCTCCACACATTCACTGAGCTTTTTTTCATTTGTCAATTTTTTTTTTTTCTCTCTTTATTCAGCATGCATACACACATTAACCTGTTCTGGTTAACCTTTGGTTAACCCATTTTCATTCATACTGCTGTCTTTAACATTCCACACTCATATACATTTAAGACCATGTAATCTAACTTTATTTCTTCCTCCTCCATACATGCTTTTAATTTTACTCCGATTGTTTTCTCTTTTAAAACAACTTTGCCGTTTCTAGGCAACACTTGGTGGCTGTGCTTTATGTCACTTTTCGGCAGTATGCTTGACAGTCCTCGGTTTGCGGCTCTATTTACAGAGCAGACCGGACAAACAGGGTGCACTTGGTGATTGGGTAAGTTTAACACATTAGATTGTATATATTTGAGATTTTCACATGTCATAGCATCTTGATAAAGACCGCTAGACGGTCGAAACGTTGATTTATATGCGTTTGATTTAATATATTTTTTTTGTTTACTAAATCCAATGAGTGCTCTCAATTTGTTCCATTTGTATATATATATATATTTTTGTTCGGAGTGTGAGAA